TCTGTCAATGTACTGTTTTGCAGCTGTTTTTGAATTATCTTTAACAAAAATATAATTGCATGTGATATTAATGACATTATCTGATGATTTCCGCATTTAATTGGGTCAGTTCTCTTTGGAATGGGCACAAATATGGATCTCTTACAATCAATTTAAGCCCACAACTTCCAAATTTCTTGGCATATTATGAGTGAGTGTCTCTAGTGATGCATCAGTTTGTTGAACGATTTCTATTTGTATTTCATCACATCCTGGAGCCTTGTTCTTTGCTAATACCTTCAGTGCACCTTGGACTTCTTCCTTCAGTACCAATCATTCTTGATCATATGCTACTTCGTGAAATGGTTGACTATTTCGTTTTGGTACAGTGATTTTGTGTATTCCTTCCATCTTCTTTTGATGCTTTCAGCATCACTCAATATTTTGTCCATAGACTCCTTCAATACTTCAAGTCAAGCCTTGAATTGTTTCTTCAGTTCTTTCAACTTGAGAAATGCTTAGTGTGTTTTTCCCTTTTGGCTTTCTAACTCCAGGTTTTGTATATTTCATTATAATACTGACTTTGTGTTCTCGAGCTGCCCTTTGAAATTTTTTGTTTAGCTCTTTTACCACCTCATTTCTTCCATTTACTTTAGCATCTCTACACTGAAAAACAGGTTTCAGAGTCTCTTCTGACATTATTTTGATTTTTTCCTTCTTTCTTCTTAATGACCTTTTGCTTTCTTCCTGTATGATGTTTGTTCTTAATGTCATCCCACAACTCTTCTGGTCTTTGATCACTAGTGTCTAATGCATCAAATTTTTTCTTAGGGTGATCTCTAAATTCAGGTGGGATATTATCAAGGTCAAATTTTGTTCTGTGGAGTTGTTTTAATTTTCTTCAGCTTCAACCTGAACTTGCATATGAGCAATTAATGGTTTGTTCCACAGACTGCCCCTGGCATTGTTTGAATGATGCTATGGAGCTTTTCCACAGTCTCTTCCCACAGATGTAGTCAATTTGACTTTTTATGTATTCCATCTGGTGAAGTCCATGTATATAGTCATCTTTTATGTTTTTATAAAAGGTATTTGCAATGACTAAGTAATTTTTCAAAATTCTGTAATGTGATCTCCAACATCATTTCTATGACAAAGGCCATATTTTCCTACTAATCCTTCCTCTTTTTTTCAACCTTTGCATTCCAATCATCAGTAATTATCACTGTATCTTAATTGCATGTTTGGTCATTTTCTACCTGAAGAAGTTGGTAGAATTCTTCAATTTAATCATCACTGGCTTTAGTGGTTGGTGAGTAAATGTGAATGATGGTAGTATTAACTGATTTTCCTTGTCGGTGTATGGATAGTATCCTATCACAGACAGTCTTATATTTCAAGATGGATCTTGAAATGTTCCTTTTGATGATTAGTGCAAAGCCATTCCTCTTCAATTTGTCATTCCTGGCATAGTAAACCATATGACTCTCGGATTTGAAATGGCCCATACGAATCCATTTCTGCTCATTAATGCCTAGGATAGTGATCTTTATGCACTCCATTTCATTTTTTTTAAGTTCCGATTTTCCTAAATTCATACTTCATACAATCTATATTCCGATTATTAGTGCATGTTTACAGCTGTTTCTCCTCATTTTGAGTTGTGCTCCATCAGCAAATTAAAGTACGAAAGCTTTACTACATTCTTGTCATCATGATCAACTCTATTTTGAGGAAGCAGCTCTTCCCCAGTTGTATTTAGAGTGCCTTCCAACCTGAGGGGCTTATCTTCCAGCACTATATCTGACAATATTTCTGTGCTTTTCATAATGTTTCTTTCCATATCTGACAACATTCACAGCAACATGCAAGCCACCACAGTATGACAAACTGGCAGAGGAGTGTGGCAACTCTTCCCTACAGGGTCACCATCAGTTAGAATTGCCTCACTGGCAGGGAGTTTGTTTGATTTCTTCTTCTAAGAGTGGAGCACTATACAAAGCATTTTACATCTCTTACCTCAATCTATTCGTACCATCGTTATGAAAGGTAGCTACTTATTTCCCCCATTTTACAGATGAGAAATTTAAGCCCACAAGAAGGTAACTTTCCCAAGTTCAGTTTAGTAAAGAAGCAATTAGGATCCCAGTTTATATCTGTCTGGCTCCAAAACCTATATTCACATTTTTTTTTTCACACATTACCTCATTTTCATTCAACAATTCTAAGAGGTGGGGTAATTGTTATTTTTCCCTTGATGAAGAAACAAAAGTTCAGAAAAATTTCATGGGATACATACAGATCATATAACTAGTAAGTGGTGGTTGTTGTCAAGTACCATTGAGTTGGTACCGACTCATAATGACCCTGTATAGCGTTTCCGAGGAGAGGCTGGGGAGCTTGCAGTTCAAAGCGACCTTACAGTCCAGTGTATTAACCTACAATGCCACCTTTTCAGCTGCCATTTTTGAGTTCTTCTTGTGTACCACCCTTTAACACATATTGTCTCCGAATAATATGAAGTATTATTGTCCACATGAGAAAGATGAAGAAACCAAATGTTTAGTTCTCTAATGAATACTCCCCCAGCAATGGGTGGGCAAAATTACACAATGACACACGGAACAACAAATACCAGAGAAAGGAACGTCAGAACATTCAGAGGAGGAACCAAAAATATATAGTCCTAAAAGTGGGGCTTACTCTGGAATTGCCTCTTCGTCCTTCCCAAATATCTTTAGACAATACCTGGAAGGCCAGTGTGCGTTAGTAATTTGGACAAAGCAACAGAAGGAAGTATATCTTCATCTTTAGTGCCTACGCGCCAGGATTATGTGTGTTCAGATTTCAATCTGTGAGCCCTCGAGGCTATACATGACAATTTGTACAGAGTACAAATGACCAGATGTGTCTGCCAGTCTCTGATGCCCATCAGTGAAAAGATGCAAATTCGGATCTTATGAATACTTGGCTCTGTAGGAGCATTCGAGAGTAATCAATAGCATAGTCTAGGTGGATTGTGAGTCCAGTTATTCTAATGGAGAAAAGGTAATAGTTTCAAAATGCCTTTAGCAACCCAGTCTGCAGATTGTTATTGGTGTGACTATTGCCGAAACAGGTGTTAGGTTCACAAATTTGCATAACAAAATGTTTTTCTTGTGGCAGCAGCCCATACAATAATTGGTACCATCTGTATTTGTCTGTTGAAGTTTGGTTTCTAATATGAACGCAAAAACTCTTGAGCTGTCTAATTTCTTTGTGCCCGTTCATTCTAAGGAGTCATGGTGTGGCGCTGCAGGATAAGCCCTTGACCGCAGCGTTGGTTTGAACCGCAAGGCTGCAGTTCAAACACCAACCAGTCACTCCTCAGAAACTTTATACAGGGTCCCTGTAAGTCAGAACTGACTCAACAGCAGTTAACAACACCAACGTTTCACTCTAAGGGTGCTTGACATTGGAGAGATGTTCATCATTTCCAAAGAAAATACCGATTGAAGGGAAAATATTCAAGTCATAACACATGTTGCCTTTTCTTCATGGATCATTTTCATTTCTAACGACACAAAACAAAAAAGGAAACTGTACCTAGAGCGTTAATTCTCAGAACAATAAGTGAGAAAGAACAAATTTAGAATACTGTATAGACTCTTTTGAAAGATTCTTCCATGAGATCTCCTCTTTGCTGGAATTCTTCCATTTTCTTACCTCATGACCAGTTTTTTAGAGGTTAAAGAGCACAAACCTATCATCTCTGACTCTACTGTTTTGACCTGTCATCTCTGGTTCTACTGTTTTGACCTATCATCTCTGGCTCTGCTGTTTTGACCTGTCATCTCTGGTTCTACTGTTTTGACCTATCATCTCTGACTCTACTGCTTTGCTGCTTGAGAAAGCAGAAGCCATTTGAGTTGCAGCTTTATCTTGGATCAACTTCTTATGGGGGAGATAAAAGTATTTGGAAACTTAGTTCTTCAAAATTCTGAGGCAGAATGGAGCATTATAAAAACTACCTTAGAACAATAGAAAGGATCCCTGGTGATACTGTGGATTATTGGACTGCTAACCACAAGGTGGGTGGTTCAAACCCAGCAGCTGCTCCACAAGAGAAAGATGAGGCTGTCTGCTCCCATAAAGATCTACAGTCATGGAAACCCCTAGGAGCAGTTCTAGTCTGTACTATAGGATCACTGTGAGTCAGAATCAACTCGTCTGTGAGTTTGGTTTGGGCTTTGTTAGGGAAATAAACAGAACTCTGGTGGAGCGGTGGGTAAAGCAGTGGACTGGTAACCAAAAGGTAAAAGGTCAGTGGCTCAAAACCACCAGCCTCTCTGTAAATATGAACAGCCTTAGAAATTCTATAACACAGTTCTACTCTATTCTATGGAGTCTTGGTGTGGCGATGTGAGATAATGCGCTGGGTGGACTACAAGGTTGGTGTGACCCCCAAGGTTGGTGGTTCAAATTCACCAGCCACTCCTCAAAAACCTTATACAGGGTCGCTATATGTCAGAACCAACTTGA